TTGTTTTTTTTTTTTTTTTTTTTTTTTTTTTTTTTTCAAAAGAAACCCTGGAAGGAAACACCAGAAACTAATAAAAGTGATTACCTGAGGTAGGGGGGAATGGGGGCAGGGGTGGGAGCACTTCTTTTCACTGTATACCTTTTTATAGTATTTTGTTTTATGGACCATGTGTTGCCTATTCAAAAAAATAAAATTAAAAAAACATATAGTATATATTTTTTAAAGTCCAGAAAAATAGACACCAAACTGTTAAGTATTTCTCTTTATGGGGTAGCATTCAACAAATTCACTAACTAACAATTATTTATTGAGCATCTATATTCCAGATACTAGTACTTAGATATATCAATACTTGGGATATATCTAGTTCTAGTACTTGGGATATATTAATAAATAAAACAAATATCCCTGCTCTCATGGAGCATATAGCCTTTTATAATAATTTTCTATTGTTTAGACAGCTAATAGTGAATATACTTTACCCCTGCTCCTAGCTCTCTAATCTTGGTCATGCTTACCGACTTCTCTAGGCATGTAGGAGTATTGTGAGAATGACAACAAAATATACGTAAATCATTTAGCTCAGTACATGACACACAATGAGTACTCAGGAAGTGTTAACTGTTATTATTTAAATATACTTTTAGTGTAGTCACATATATACATGACATCTTAAAATATTCTATGAGAGGTAAAGAATGTACGCTCTACAGGTGACAAAAAAAGCTGAAGTCACTGGGCCTACCCTAGGTCTGTGTTCTTTATCACCACCAGCAGGCAGGCCGCAGCATGTGTCAGATAAATACTGTCACTCTCTTATTTTCCCTAACTTTTTCTTTCCTCCACTAGACTATGAGTTATCTATAGTGCAGAAACGTACCTTATTTATCTTAGTGTCCCTGGAACCTAACAGAGTACCATACAATGTATGGTCTTTTGCTAAAACAGAATACACAGATCAATGTGGTCATGGAACGTTTTATTAAAGAAATGAAATAGACTGGAAATGATTACCACAAGATCCTAACCAAAAATGAAGGGATTGTTCTATTTTCTTAACTTTCGGTTGGGACCAGCAGTTGGCATAATGGCTATGTCGCTAGACTCCCATGTAGTTGACTGTGGTTTGAGTCCCGGATCCGGTGGCTTCAACTCACGCCAGGCGCGTGTGTGTGCGTGCCCAAGATGCCAAAAGGAGAATGGAAAAGTGATTGTAGTGTGGCCATCCCCCCTGAAGAGGGATTTCTCGCCTTCCACCTCTCTGTCTCTTTCTGTCTTTCTGGCGAGTGCACGCGCCCTATAGCAAAAACTTCTCAAGAACAAACAAACAAAAACTTTCAGTCATCTGGCCATGAATTATTTCTTTGCCCAAACGGAGACAGAGCTGTGATAAAGACCTGTTGTTTTCTGATAAAATAAGCCACGGAAGACTGCCTTTCATAACCACCACTAGAGGGATCCACAGGCTAAATACAGCCCTACAGTCACTAAAGAGAAACTACCATCCCTTCTGTAAACTACCCCACAAGGAAATTCTGACAGTTATCACTCACTGCAGTATCCCAACGACTAATACTACACAAAATGCTTTAATTCTACAAAAATATGGATGTAGAAAAAGATCTTTCAAAGAAAGTGACATTATCAAAGAGACAAGGCTTTATAACCGTTATCTTACAGCTGCCAGACAACCACAACTGCTCACATCACCCACCCACACTTCTCAGAGACCTACTGATCATTAAAAGGTAGCACAAGGCACTGGAGTCTCTCTCTATTATTAGTGACATGGAAGAAAAAAGTAGAGAATAAGAACAAGTAGACTTGTATGATTTTCCTAAATTTTGTTTAAAGTTACATGATATATCTGACCCACCTCTAAGATTCTGCAACCAAAAAAAAGATGTCATGCTATTAATTTCCCTCTAGAACAAGAACATATCTTGGTAAGATAATAGTGTTTCTTTATCTGAGTTTTCCCACAAATTAGCTCTTACAAAAATCTTAGTTCCTTAACAAGTTCTAAGTAAGAGAATTCAAGATTTATAGATTTCTATTCTCAAATATTACACTGAAAACAAAAACACACACCTACAATTGTATTTCCTCACTCAAAACACTTCCTTTTTAAAAATAGGATTAGATCAGCTATAATCAGCATATAAAGTAGCCTTATTTTTTCCTCAACATGTAAGAAGACTGAAAAAATTACTAATACACATAATTTTAAGTCACTTTCAACATTATCGTTCATAAAATAAGCTAAGCTGAAATGATGAAAAACTAGAATATTGATATTTTAAAAGAATAAGTATACATGTTGCAAATTACCAAATAGTATGGGTACTTACAACCATTTAAACTGGCTCTGTGAAATTTTCTGCCAAAACAACCAATTTTTAATCAATTTGGAAACTACCCCTCTTAAGTATTTATGTTTCTGGTGCATTTTTTTTTAGAGTATTTTAGTTTATAATGGCAGTTTATAGCCAAAGAGCCAGGAGCTGATTTAAATACCATTTTCAATGCTCATATAAGCCAAAAATATATATACATTTCTAAAGCATTAAGTTTTCTCTCATTAAAGTTACCTGGCACCCACACAAACTAATTCAAGGTCAACAAAAATAAAGAAAAAATTTTTTTCTTAAAAGAAATAGTTACAAGAAACATTACCTACCAGTACTCTGCAGTGTTAATCCTGAGAGATCTTAATTTTTTTAAAGAGAAAAAAAGAAACATTTATCATTACCATGAAAATATATTCAATTATATTTAAAATTACAGAATGTAAATTTTAGCCAGGGATTACAAAACTTCATAAACATTTCAATTCAAAAATAGTATAAATGCTACCTAAATTTGTAAACTAAGCATTCACCTCTATAATACTTGCCATTTTATTTTTCAAAAACAGTGCTCTAAATAGGCAAAATATCAGTTATATATACTTGGTTTCAGTAGTTGAAATATAAGTTTGCTTTCAATTTCAAATTTAAATACTTAGTATTTCATTTAAAAGTCTGATTTCTTAACCTTATTTAAAGTCAAAGACTATCTCCAAATTTATAATTTATAGTTTAAAAAAATTGAAACACTATTGTGATCTTTTCTCTTTATGCTTCTAAGAATAAAAGCAAAGTCTATTTACCAATTCCAGGTGATACAACTCGTTCATAATGATATGGATTCACACAGACACTATCACATTTTAAATCAAATGCATACTGACAGTATTTAACATGTTTTAGTTCATTTTTGTGAAGATCAGGCCACCTCCAGAGGCGGGCATAGATCACATGAGGAAATCCTTTCCTACCAGCCACCTAGGAAAAAGAAATGACATTTACTGAGCATCAGTTATGTGTCAGACATATGTAGAAAACACTGTCTTTGTTGTAATTTAATCCTCATAATTCTGCAAAGTCAGTATCAAAATTTCCATGGCCATTCCCCCTGGGGAGGGAGTGGGAAACAGATTTCTCACTTTCTCTCTCATTGTCTCTGACAAGCACACTCGCCCTATGGCAAAAAAAAAAAAAAAAAAAAAATTAAAAAGATATGTCTTTTATACATTCTTCTATACATTCCTATATGCATACTGGTATAGGATGCATAGTAGCTGAAGAAATGGAGCAAGCACTGAATTATTCTATAATAGCTCAGAAGAGGGTCCAGCAGAAGGCATAGTGATTATGTTGCTGGACTCCCATGCAATGGACTATGGCTTAAGTCTTAGAGCTGGCAGCTTAAAACTCACACTGGGCGTGCGTGCCCAAAATCCCAAGAGGAGAAAGGATTGCAGCATGGCCACAATTTCTCGGTCTCTGTCTCCCTGGTGAGTGCACATACCCTATAGCAAAAATCTCTCTTAAAAAAAAAAAAAAAAAAAACTCACAGCAGATATGCATGGATGCACAAGATCCCAAGAGAAAAATGGAAAAGAGATTGTGACATGGTCATCGCCCCTGGGGAGTAAGTTCTCACATTCCCTCTCACTGTCTCTGTCTCCTTCTTTGGCTAGTGCAAATGCCCTATGGCAAAAACCTCTAAAAGAGGGGGCAAAAAAAGTAGTTCAGGAGAAACTTAAGAATTTTTTCTAATCTGCCATTACAGAAGGCAGAACAAAATTCTAGTGTAAGACTAACCTGAAGTCTTCCATCCAATGTTCTCTGTATAGTAACGCATTTACTAGGATGAGCTCCATTTGTAGTTATGGCTGTTATTAAAGAATCCAACTCATCTTTTTTCTCCTTCAACTTCTTTACCAAACTTTCAATTGCTCTTTTTGCAAATGTTTCACTCTCTCCACCTTGTCTATGGCACATCAAACTATGTACAATGCTCAGACAGGCATCATTGCTTGTTGGTGTATTTGTAATAGACATATTGTCCATTTGTTCAAGATTTTTCTTTTAAATCGAATGTTTCCAATTTCCGGAGCAATTTTGACTTTCTGGATACAGTTAAAATCAATGGCTAACGTTCAAGAAAAATTGTTAGACATGTGGTATTCAGGATAACCTAAAAAAATAAAAGAGAAAGACACAGACATGAGAATACATTTCACAAAGCAGAACCAATTGCTTGAGAAAAGACAAAATTACACTAGTTAAGTCAATACAAATAATTAAAGTTTGATATTTAGAGTTTACAATTACTTAAATAAAATTTGCTGGTCTTGACATTTCAAAAATACTAAAGTTAGTTTGGGACTAGCAGCTGGCAAGATGGCTAGATCTCTGGACTCCCATGTAGTCAACCGTGGTTCGAGTCCCAGACCCAGGGCTTAAACTCACGCTGGGCACATGTGTGTGCATGCCCAAGATCTTGAGAGGAGAATGGAGGAGAAGGGATTGCTGCATGGCCATCCCTCCTAGGGGATGATTTCCTGCTTTCTGTCTCTCTCTTTTTGGCAAGCGCACGCACCCTATAGCAAAACCTCTCAAAAAAAAAGAAAGAAAAAAAGAAAAGAAAGAAAGAAAGAAAAATACTAAAGTTAGGCCTTCTCATGATTACAGATGCATTTTTTGGGGGGAGAGGTATTTTTTTTTTTTTTGCTGTAGGGTGCGTGCGCTCGCAGAGATTGACAGAGAGACAGAAAGTGAGAAATCACCTCCCAGGGGGGATGGTAACGCAGCAATCCCTTCTCCTCCATTCTCCTTTCGGGATCTTGGGCATGCACGCACACACGCCCAGCGTGAGTTTAAGCCACCAGGTCCAGGACTCGAACAACAGTCGACTACGTGGGAGTCCAGCAACATAGCCATTACACTAACTGCTGGTCCCATTACAGATGCATTCTCAATCAAGTCTTGTTGACCAGTTACTACTAGTACTCTTGGCAATTCTACCCAAGACTAATGAAAACTTAAGCCCACACAAAAACTTGTATATGAGTGTTCACAGAGGAACTGTTCATAATGGACAAAAAGTAGATACAACCCAAATGTCCATCAACTGACAAATGTATATATAAAATAGGCATACCATACAATGGTATATATCCAGTCATAAAAAAAGAATGAAGTATAATATATGCTTCAAGATGGATAGGCCTTGAAAACATGTCACATGAAAAATGTCACTTACAAAATGTCACTTATATAATCCTATTTATATGAAATATCCAAAACAGAAGAATCTATGAAGATAGAAAGTAGATCAGAGATTGTCAAGGGGAAAACAGAATGACTGTTAATAAAAATGGGGTTTCTTCTGGGGAATAACGAAATATAAAATTGATAGTGACAATTTCTCAACTTTGTGACTAAAGTAAAAACCAATGAACTATATACTCTAAAAGAGTGAATTATATATCAATAAAGCTGTTATTTAAAAAAGCGAACAGACCACTAAATTTCTCTTTTTTTCCTTTATTCATAATGGAGTGTGAGACAAAAGCTCTTTTTTTAAATTTTTTTATTTTAATTTTTTATATAAATTCAATCATATTATTTAGCTTACAAAGTGAACAATTCAGTATGTGTGTGAACATTTCTCCCCAGTCCAGTTGATCAGAGTATCTTCCACCAATAACACCACACCTCCCCATCCCGTCAATGCTCTCTCTCCGTATCCCTCTTCCAAATGTCCTTCCTTAGGTCCTTCTTCTCCACATACTCCACTTCTGGCACTAACCCCCATCTCTTGTGTTTGTACAACCTTAGGTCAGTCAGTTTCAGTTATAGAGTGCAGTCACTCGGTATATACTAAGTGGGGACATACAGTGTCTCTCCTTCATAACCTGGCTTGCTTCACTAAGCAGTAAATCTTCCATATTCTTCCACTTTTTGTCAAAAGCCAGGGTTTTGCTGTTTTTTCTTATGGCTGAATAGTATTCCACAGAGTATATGTGCCACAGTTTTCCATTCATCCGTACGGGGGCATTTGGGTTGGTTCCATGTCTTAGCAATCGTGAATAGTGCTGCAATAAATATCGATGTGCAAGCATTTTTCCAATGAAGAATTCTTCTGTCCTGGGTAGATACCGAGGAGTAGGATTGCTGGGTCATATGGTAGTTCTATTTGTAGATTTTTGAAGAATCTCCAAATTGTTCTCCATAATGGCTGGACCAATTTACATTCCCATCAGCAGTGTAAAAAAGTACCGCTTTCACCACACCCCCGCCAACAGTTATCATTTTTTGTTTTTTTAATCTTAGACATTCTGACCGGGGTTAGGTGGTATCTCAGTGTTGTTTTGATCTGCATTTCCCTTATGATGAGGGATGTGGCTCTCTCCATAGAGTCTGATCAGGCCATGATTCCCTTCCTCCATCCTCCAGCCCATAGGATCTTAGGCACTCACTCACAGTGCCCAGTATGTTTCAGGCTGACAGTCTAAGGATTTGAGGTACGATCACCATGTGATCAGGCTTTTCTTTTTTTAAAAAATTATTTACTGAATATTTTTACTCATCATTTATTTTAATCTGACCAGAGAGACACAGAGAGACAGCGAGAGAGAGAGAGAGGGAGGGAAAGTGAGAAAGCAAGCCACCAGGTTCAGGACTCGAACTGTGGTCAGCTGTATGGGAGTCAAGTGCCCTTAACACCATGCCACCTGCCAGCCCCAGGGTCTAGCGCCCTTAACCACCATGCCACCGGCCAGCCCCAGAGATCGGGCTTTTCTTGAGCAGTCCATTACCACTGCTCCATAGAGCTGGCCTTAGACCACTGAATTTCTCAAGATTTTACATGTAAAAGCAACAGAGTAAAAAGAAATTAAAATAGAAAGAAATTAATATTAATGAAGAATGCATTCAACATATCTTGATGTCAGAAGAGACCTCAAGAACCCAAATATAATAGGAAAAAGCCATCAACCTAAGCATACTGAAAATTAAACAAAATTTAGAACATGCACTCTATATGTTGGGCTATTGTTTTGTTTTTACTTTCTTTTGCTATTTGCTTGAATCTTTAATGTCCCTTCTACCCCAAAATTAATAAAATTATTCTTCTACCAAAATCTGTTCTGAAATTAATTTGTTAAAGCATCAATTCCACTTAGTTATCCAATTTTAGAAAACTTAGCACTTGGCAAATAATCTTCTTTTGCTATGTTTGGGCACATGTATGGCACTGGCCAAAGAGACAGACAGGGAGAAAAAGAGAACTCACTCCCCAGGGTGGATGGCCTTGCCACAATCCCTTCTCCATTATTCTCTCAAGATTTTTACATACACATGCACACAAGCCCAGCAAGATTTTCTTCCTTTTTTTCTTTTTAAATAATTATTTACTTTTACTTTTTTTTTTTTAATTTGCTATAGGGCACTTGTGCTCACCAGTGAAAGACAGAGAGAGAGAGAATAAGGAAGCAAGCCACTAGGTCCAGGACTCGAACCATGGTAGACCATATAGAGTCCAGCACCTTACCCGCTATGCCACCTGCTGGCCCCATCCTGGCATGATTTTCAAGCTGCCAGGTCTGAGACTACTGGAACTGGGAATTGCCATGTGGGATCCAGCCACTTTAACTTCCACACTACCTGATGACCCTCATCTTTTTTTTTTTTTAAGGTTCTTACCACAGGACACATTAGCTAGCTAGAGACAGAGGGAAGGAAAATGAGAAATCACTCCCCAGGGAAGATGGCCATGTTGCATTCCCTTCCCTATTCTCCTTCTGGGATTTTAGGCATGCATGCACACATGCCCGGCATGATTTTCAAGTCACTGGGTCTGGGATTCAGACCACAGTGAGTCATTCATCTTAATCATCACTCCTTTGCTGGCCCCCAAATCCCATTTTGGTAACAATTTATATCATCCCCTCAGCTATACTGAAACAAAATTCTAACCTACTTACACATACTTTTAAAAATTTAACAATGCCCTAAGTGTAACACACACACACACACACACACACACACCACACACACACACACAGGATAAATTTACTCAGCACATTTAATTTTAGAGAGTATTTTAATTAATTTGGTTGTCTGGCTTTGTAGTCCATGGATTAGCTATTATGGCCACAGTGAACATTAAATAGCAGCTAGTGATTAATAGCAACGTTAGAGGAAAAACACACAATAAGGAAACATAGGAACAAACCTCTGTTCCTTTTGCTGATGCCTCTTCCCAGTACCCCTCACCATGACTTTGTCTAGCAGCTGTGTATGTTAGCAGCTTTCAAATAGACAAGTAGGTCTGACTTCTTTACTAAACTCTTCCAAAACTCAGAATATCTAAAATTGTTATATAGCCCCTTTTAAATCTTCTTTAACCTTTCTTTTTAAAATCTTTATCATTTAATTTGTTCTTTAAATCTTTTTTTTTTTTTTTAAGTTTTTTGATGGTGAAAGACATAAGGGGAAAGTGAGAAATCACCCCCCGGGGGGCTCTTCCATTCTTCTCTAGAGATTTTGGGTTCATGCACCATATGCAATTTTCAAGGATCGGGTCCAGAACTTGAACTGTGGTTGGCCACATGGGAGTCCAGCATCTTAAACACTGTCCCACCTGCTGCCTCTTATTATTTCAATCTTTATTCTTCATTATTCAGTGCCATACAGCACTTGCGCTCACTAGAGACAGTAAGAGCCAAAGTGAGAAAGTGAGAAATCACTTCCCAGGGGAATGGCCATGCTGCAATCCCTTCTTCTCCATTCTCCCCTCAGGATGTTGGGCACATACACACACATACACCTGGTATGATATTCAAGTTGCCAGGTCCAGAACTGGAACCACGGTTGGCTATGTGGGAGTCCAGCACCTTAACCAGTACACCACCTGCTGGCACCAGTATTACAGTTCTTTGGATCCTCCACCTGCAACCTCCACCTGTCTTGAAATTAGACGTGTTAAAGGCTTTCTCAGCCTTGACACTAATGACATTTTGAGCCCGGTAATTTTTTGCTTTGGGGGCTTCCCTGTACATTGCAGGACATTGGGCATCAGCCCTGGATTCTACCCACTAAATGCCCAATAATACTCTGCCTGTCATCTCCCCCTTCCAGTTATGATTGTTAAAAATGTCTCCAGATATTACCAAATGTCCCCTCAGGGATAAAGGTGCCCCAATTAAGAACTACTGGCATGGCCATGTGACTTTGGCCAATTAAATGTAAGCAGAAGTGATAACCTTTAGAAGACACTACATAAGTTGTCCTCTCCCTTTCCCTGCTATTAAGGACATAGAGGTGGAGCTTTATTCAGTCTAATTCCTGAGACAGTAGTGAGCAGTACCCCCAGTTGATGAACACGTTACTTAGGCAGAAAATGAACCTTTGTTTAAAGCTATTGTTAATTTGGGAGTTGATCGTTACTGCAACTTAGCTTATCCTCTCCCGACTGGTAGGTCATATCAAGACTTAATTTACCTATGGGCTTTCCATGTTCCCTCATTTTTATACCCAAATCACTTTAATATCTACCTCTTTCAGTATTTACGAGTGTGCTAATAACTTCAGGTCATCTGCCTCAGCAGCACTCAGTGGAGTAAGTAGTACTCTTAAGGGGTATTGTGAAATTTCATTTTGGTGGGTGGAAGCCAGGGACATCATCCTGTAATGCCAGAGACAGTGAAGAATAATTCTGCATCCCAGAAGACTTTCAAATGTCCCAGAAATTCATGTAGGAGGAATACATAATTAACTTAGAACTTAACTCCATCTTAATATATACTGTTTTCCAGGAACTGAATTCTTAAGTGTATCCTTTTTTTCTAGGTTTTTACCATAGGGTGTGTGCACTCACCAGAGAAAGAGAGACAAAGATGAAAAGTGAGAAATCACCCTCTAGGGGACAGCCACACTGCAATCCCTTTTCCTCCATTCTCGTCTTAGGATTCTGGGAATGCACGCACATGTACCCAGTGTGACTTTAAAGCTGCCAGGTCTGGGACTCTTAACAGCAGTCAGTCATGTGCGAGTCCCGTGTCTTAACCACCATGCCATCTACTGGCCTCCATCTTAAGTTTCTTTTTTTTTTTTTTTTTTTTTTTTTGAGAGAGAGAGAGATTTTTGGATTTTTGTTATAGGGCACATACACTCGCTCAAGACAGATAGAAAGCTAAAAATCATCCCCTCAAGGGTGATTCTCCTCTCAGGATTTAGGGTATGCACACACACATGCCCAGTTGTGAGTTTCAAGTCACTGGGTCTGGCATTCAAATGTAGGCTGAACCTACATCAAGTCCATGGTCCTAACCACTATGGTACTTGCTGACTCCAAGTTTAATTGAGGTTGTTTTGTTTGGAGCTTTACCAAGGGTTCACCATTTGGGAAAATCCATATCAATAACTGCAGTGCCATTGTGCTATTTAAGTTGTCAGTGTTAATACCTATCTCAGAAGGTCTGAAATTACAGCAGTCATATTTATGATTCTACATATAAATGTAGACATTAAACTTTATTATACATTCTAAGCTAAATGATATGCCTGAGCATTTATATATTGAAATACCCCTTTTACATATTAATCTTTTTCTTCTACTTGCATGGTGGTTAAGGTGCTGGACTCCCACATGGCTGACCATGGTTTGAATCCCAGACCTGGTGGCTTATTTTCTCACTTTCCCTCTCTCACTCTCATCAGATTAAAAAATAATTATTTTATTTATTTCCACTTGTTGTTATTATTTTTTAATTGACCGGACAGACAGAGACAGACAGAAAGGGAAAGCAAGAAAGCAAGCTGCCAGATCTGGGACTCAAACAGCAGTCAGCCACAGGGAATCCAGCACTTTTAACCACAATGTCACCTGCCGGTCCCAATAAAACAATTCTTAAAAAACTATGTATTGGCTGGCAGGTGACGTGGCAGTTGAAGGTGTTGGACTCCCACATAGCTAACCACAGTTCAAGTCCCAGGCCTGGAGGCTTGCTTTCTCACTTTCTCCTTCCCTCTCACTCTGTACCTCTTTGGTCAAATTTTAAAAATAAAGTAAAATAATTCTTAAAAAAAAAAAAGTATGTATCAAAAAACTTTCTTTATTCACAATTTAGAGCATTCAAGGGGGATGAGAACACCTGACAGAGAAAGAAAATCTAGTGTGTGGTTACACCATGACCCCTTTCTTCCAGTGCTCCAACCCTCAGATTTGAGGCATTCAAGCATGTGCCCAGCGTGTTTCAGGCTGACTGGGCTGGAGATTGAGCACAAAGTCGCCATGGGGAATCTGGCTTCTCTTGAGTGATGCATTACCATTGTATCATAGAGCTGGTCCTTTTCTTTCTGTTGCATTTAGGACACTGTTACATTTTTTAAAATATGTGTAAGTAGGTTAGAATTTTGTTTCAATATAGCTGGGGGGGAGGAAATAAAAAGTTATCTGTTAAAAAAAGGGATATTGATCTCATGGTCAAGAACCACTTTCTAACTATGTGCCACTTGTCTTGGTATCTGTAGTGCTTTGCACATGACAGTGTGTGTTGAGCTGGTCAATTTATGGTTCACATATTTTTCCCCCTTTATGAGAAGGAGTTGGCAAGATGAAGAAGAAACAGAGAGAGACAGGGATAGCTATATTTTTTAAAGAACTGGGAACCAGCAGTTAGCATAATGGCTATGTCGCTGGACTCCCACGTAGTCGACTTCGGTTCGGGTCCCAGACCCGGAGGG